TTCTATTATTCTAAACATTTTGAACAGAAACATGTATGTATATATATATACAGAGTTATTCAAAAAGTATGACGCGAAATTAAAGTTGATTTATTATTTATCGAACTAACATTACGTATCGAACGATCCACAATGATATGAATAGATAAACAATCTGCATAAATTTGTTGTACATAAATTTGATGCTTGTTTGTATAAACGTGTAAACAGTAGCCCATTTTTGCCCAGACTGATTCCACAACATATCCTCGGTTATTCGATCCACAGTACCACAGATGCGGTTCTTTAAATCGTCCAGGTGTTGTTGAAATGGGGGAAAAAAACAAACAATCATAAACATAACCTCCACAAGTAGAAATTTCTGGTTATTAAATTAGATGATCGCGAATAACAGAAAGAATTGGTAATTTTTAACAGAACCGATTAAGTGCTCTGAAAAATTGGCTTTTAGGTATTCTCAAATGACACAGTGGAAATGAAGATGAGTACCATCCTGTTGAAAGATGAGGTTAGGATAATCTTCATTTAGTTGAAGCATAAGCCATTCCATTAACATGTCAAGGTAGGTTAGGTCAGTGACAGTAGGATAGGCAAACAAGCAGGCCCCATACACTTTCCATCTGGTCGTCACGCAAATCACGTTAATACATGAACACGGACGCAGTCATATAACTAACGGAAAATGAACTTACAATTATCAATCATTGGATTGATCAATCATTGCATATCATTGTGGATCGTATATGTCAATTCACTAACGGACATATCAACTAAATATATTATTGTATAATCCTGTTTGTATGGTTTATCAGATCTATTATTAAAAAAAACAAAAGCATTATACTTTAACAAACTCGTTAATACTGAATTTAAGTATATCTGTATACACACATATACATATATATATATAGGGTGTCCCACATAAATCTAGTCACGAATTTCAAATACTTGCGATAACCTGACAAAAAAATACTTTCAACAAAATTTGATCTGTTTTTAATTGACTATACATTGCAATAAAAAAAAGTTAGAAAAAAATATACTTTTAATATTTTTTATACTTATAGCAAGTGGATTTCAATGATTTTTATATTAAATTAAAGTACACTCTTTTTCTCCTACGCGTAGAATACTTTGTAGAGTTATAAATCGATTTGCAAAGGTTTGGAAAATATCAGAGAATGCAATGCTGTAAATTTTTTTTACTTTGCCATTTCTTTGAAAAGTTTCGGTAAATATTTTTTATACAAAAAATGAATAGATTTTAATGAAACTTATATTAAATTAAAGTACACTTTTTTGTCTATGCGTGGAACACCATATCGAGTTATGAATTTTGCATGTAAAGTTCAGGAAATGTCAGAGAATGCAATGCTGTAAATTGTGCATCTTTGCAATTTTTTTGAAAA